TAATAGCTTTTTGGGATTGAAAAACAACTCTGTTAAAATGGAGAAAGAATGTGTCTTGAACATACTTGCATTTGGTGTTACAAAATGAAATCTTAGCATATCCATTGTTCTGAAATTCTGTTATTTGGAAAATGAGCATATTTTCATTCTGTGGCGGATTAATTTGATTTTCACAGACAAAAATAGTTATTTGGCACTAGGTCTTTTGATGGTCAAAAAATAATGAGACTAGCTAATTCTAAAAGAGCTTTTACAAATTCTTTTGCACTATTCACATAAATGTAAAGCATCTTGAGATGTCTACTTTAAATAATATTCTTTTGGATCTATGCATTTTGCTATTGCTTAAGTTTAGAGTTAAACTTTTACGTTTTAAGTAAGTTGGAATATAAAGTATTTATTGACTGGGTGCAGCTGCTCATGCCTGAAATCCCAGAGCTTTGAGAGGCTAAGGCAGGAACATTGCCTGTGGCTAGGAGTTCAACACCAGGCTGGGCAATTTCATTTTCTACAAAAAAATAAATAAAAATTAAAAAGTTAGCCAGGCATGGTGGTGAGCACCAGTAGTCCCAGTTACTCAAAAGGCTAAGGTAGGAGAATCACTTGAGCCCAGGAGTTGGAGGCTTCAGCTATTATTGTGACATTGTCCTCCAGCCTGGGCAACAGAGAGAGACCTTGTCTCTTAAATATATATATATATATATTTACTTGAAAATCTCTGGTGAAGGTAGAGGAATTTTGTCTCTCAGATCATGGAAGGAGGCTTGATTAGGTAATGGCTGAGCTGGACATGCTACTGCTTTATCAGCTCCAAGTCTTCCTTGCCCCTCTCCATCCAAGGTCCTGTGGTCACCCCGCAGGAGGAATTGACATTCTCCATAATCAAAGAGTTATAAAAAGAAATTTCAGCTCCCTGGAACCACTAGGGGGCGGTTCATCAGTTGTAGATATTCTTTTTATTTTTATTTTTAACTTTTATTTCAAGAAAATATAAAGCACAAGCATTTTGGTTGCATTTTATATCTTTGCCTCTCCCTAGCAAGGGTTAGAGGTATGCCTAATGAGAAGTATGTGGTTGAGCTGCCTCACTTTGGGCTAACTGTAGGGTTCAATAGCTATTCGAGTGGGGTTTATGCATGTGTGTGTGGGTGGGGTGGCTGGGTGGGTGGGTGTGGGTGTGTATGACAGAAAATAAATAGAATGTTCTTAGCACCATCTTCTATCTAAAAAGGCACTAAAAAAGGAATGACCAGAACTACATGTGTTGCAGATTTTCTCCTTTTAATTATATTATTCCACAACTTTCCTTGCTGGGAAATTAAGTACTATTAGGTATTATAAATAGAATTTAAACTAAAAAGGTGTAAAAACTACATACTAAGTAGAGTTCTTTGGTTGCAAGCTGCAAACACAAGTTAACTCTGGCTAATTTAAATAAAAAAGGAAATTACTGGAGGGATATTACTGCTGGAACCCAAAGATCCTGTTCTCCAAAAGGATGAGAATTAGAATAGTTAGGGGAGAGCTTCCATGTTGCTGAACAACCATGCGCTGGGGTGGAGAGGGGCAGCACACCCCAACTCTACAGGGACTGAGGCTTCTGGGCTTGGGACCTGCCTGGACCTTGTCCTGTGTATCTCTTCATCTGTATCCTTTATATTATCCTTTGTAATCGATCTACGGGTGAGTGGAGTGTTTCCCTGTGTTCTGTGAGCTGTCCCAGTCGATCGTTGGAACCCACAGGAGCCCTGGTTTGTGGCTGGTAGGTGAGAAGCACAGGTGACAACCTGGGATTGGTGGCTGAGGTCTGAAGTGGGGGAAGACTTGTGGGACTGAGCCCTTAACCGTTGGGATCTAACATTATCTGCAGGTAGATAGCGTCAGAACCGAAATGATTTATAGGACGCCCAGTTTGTGTCTGCCGGAGAGTTGCTTAGTGTATGGGGAAACTTCCCAGCCATCTTGTCACAGAAGTGTTCTGTGTTGTGAGGTGTAGAGACACAGCGTGTGGGTTATCCAGCAGACTCTGTTGCAGAAAATAAGTTTTGCTTAGGGGGCAGGAAGTGCTCATTCACTCATTGCACACACATGTGTGGGGCCCCTCCCGAGCACAAGGGCTGACAGATGAACTTTAAAAGAATAGAAGCCTCAGAGGCAGGAGTTTTGACTGTTTTGTTTACTGCTCATACGCAGAGCCTAGAACTGTGCCTGGCACAGAGTTGGTGCTCAATAAATATTTGTTGGATGGGTGAGTGAATGCTTCTCACACCTTGTCATTTCATCAAAGACGCTTTGATCCTCAAGACCCTTCTATGGCATTCTCGAGAAGTCTGCCAGTGCAATGAGAAGAGGAGTCCTCAGGAGGGAGCATGGGAGCTGCACGCATACCCACTCAGTGCAAAGTGCAGAATCCGAAGCCTGCACTTTGCACTGCTGTGGAAAGTTTAGAGTGCAGTCTAAACGTTTTGGGTACGAAGGCATTAGTCTGACACTGCCTGGGGTACTGCAATGTAATTCTGACACTGACCACTGGAGTTGGTGCATAACCCACAGGTTGAAAGGCTTTGTCCCCAGTGAATCTTCACCTACATCAGATGCCAGACACAAGGGTCACTCTCAGGTCCCCTGCACTTCCACGACTGGCTCTGGATTCAGGAGGTTCCTGTGAGCACCCTCAGATAATTTGCTCAAAAGACTCACAAAACCTAGTGCCATACTTATGATTGCAGTTTTATCATAAAGGATACAAATCAGGGCCAGTCAGGGGAAGGAACACATGGGACAAGGTTAGGGAGGGCTCAAATGCAGAGCTTCTGTGCCCCTTCCCATGGAACTAGAGCTCACCAGCACAGAGGTTCTAACATATAGGTGTTGGTCTGGTGACCAGACTGCATCTCCAGTCATCTCATCTTGTTGCATGGACTCAGGTGTGATCCAAGAGGATCATGAATAACAAACCACTCTTAGTTGGGAAATTCCAAGATTCAGTGCCTCCCAGGAACCAGGAGCAAAAGCCAGCCAGATTTTTTTTTTTTTTTTTTTTTGAGAAAGAGTCTCACTCTGTTGCCCAGGCTACAGTGCCATGGCATCAGCCTAGCTCACAGTAACCTCAAACTCCTGGGCTCAAGTGATCCTCCTGGCCTCAACCACCCGAGTAACTGAGACTACAGCCATGTGCCACCATGCCTGGCTAATTTTTTCTATATATTTTTATTGACCAATTAATTTATTTCTATTTTTAGTAGAGATGGGGTCTCCCTCTTGCCCAGGCTGGTTTCGAACTCCTGACCTTGAGTGATCCACCCACCTTGGCCTCCCAGAATGCTAGGATTACAGGCATAAGCCACTGCAACCGGCCCCAGATTCTTTACTATGCAACAAGGGCTCTAGTTTCAGAATAGAGTCTTATTAAAAAGTTTGAGAGGTGACAAAGATTCTTTGCTTGACCAAACTTTTGTCAGGCTCCTGAACCTTCTGCTAGGCCCACCTGTACACTTCCTTGTAAAATCCAGTTTTCGCAAGAACCCTGCCATGTCAGTTTAGCAAGAACCTCCCACTCTTGCTATCTGATCACCCTCAGTATCTGTTGGGGTTCCTCTTTTCCATCTTCCCCCAAGCGATGTCTGATCGCCCTGCCCTGTCTTCAGCAAGAATCCCCCTTACCCCTGATACTTCTTCTTAGTAATTTCCTGTCCGATGAACTCTACCCTGCTCCTTGGCTAGGATTTCCCACTTGCCTTTGCTGTGTTCAAAGTTAAGCCCGTTTTTCCCCCCCCATTTCAAAATCCCATTGCAGTGGGCCCTATACCTCTCAGGATGGTCTTGAATAAAGTATGCCCTATTGTGCTTTAACAAGTATCATTAAGTAATTTTTTCTTTAACAGCGACACTCAGTTGGGCCTTTAGTAGACAAAACCTTAAAGGCTTATTTTACAAAGATTAAAGAGAGCTGTCTCGGCACGGGAACCTTTATTTGTCAGTTTTTAATTCAATGATGAATTTATTCTAAACACTGAAAATAAAAGTTTATTTGATTTTAATTAAAAAACAAAAAGAATAGTTCCAGGAATACAGGTAGCAGGAACCAGTGGACAGTTCTTCATTGCCATCAGGGTGAATAAACTTGAATTTTCTTTAGTCTTTGTTACTTGCTCTGGATTTGGAGCTTCTGATCTAGCTTGGATCATATGCCCATTTCCTTGACTTAAGTCCTCTCAAGGGCATGTCCCATGGGTGAGGCATGGTTCTCTTAAGAACAGTTATTAGATGCTTAGTAGGCAAAAAAGACAGATGTGTGCTTCTCCGAAGCATTTTTTTTCTTGCAAAACTATAAAGTGTCATGTGAGTAGCATTTCGATTGTACTGTGCTCAGTCATTCTTGAGTTTGAAATTTTGATTAAGATTCATGAACATGAAGCTATGACCTTTATGGCTTTTAAAAAAAATCTGTGAGAACTTAGATCTGGGTTCTAATCAATATGACCTAGAAATTGAGAGCACCCAAAGAGGCACTTCTGTACCAAACAATAGTGTTATATACATAAAAAAAGTCACACACCTAACCTTGGAAACCAGAAAAAGGCAAACTGTTTTCCAGAGTCACGTGCTAAAATCTTTTTAAAATATAAAACTCTGTTTTATTCAAATTATGTACAAGGTTGGGAGAGTGAGTTATAATCTTTTCATGACTTGGAGTCTCTAAAGTCAACCCTTAGCAAGAAGGGAGGCAGAGATATGAGTTGGTAGGCTGTTGTAGCAATCTTGGTATGAGCTCATGCCATTTTAGATTAGGATAGTGATGATGACAATGAAGAGAAATATGTAGACTCTGGAGAGATAGTCTAGAAGTGAGATGTATATGAGTTTACATTATAAATGATTTTAGAGGTAAGGATCTGAAATGGTAATAATATTACCATTTCTTTTAAAATTCTCTTACCTGGTAACTATAAATGTCCCTTTAAGTCTGTGTAACTAACACTATTATTCCAACTTTGCAGATACAAAAAGAAGACCTGCACATATATTTGTGATTTAGCCAAGGTAAAAACCAAATCCTGTCACCTTCTCGACTTGTTTTTATATTATATTATGGCACATGTGGCATCTCATTTTTCTGAATTTTTCTTAACTATAGGTTTTCAAGGAACTTCCAAGTATTCTGTTGTCTTTGAAATCAGGGAACATGTATTCATCCATCTTCCTAAAAGCCCCCAATTTTTCATGAAGTCCATTTTGGAATGGCTGACAACTGTATATGTGTTTTAAGTGAGGAAATGGATAGGATATCACCAAAAGCAGGACCTTTTTGAACACCTATTTGGAGATTCTACTTCTTTTATATCTATTTTGTCATATTTTGTTCATTCTGATAGTAGTTGATGACAATTTTCCTGGAAAATGTTTGTTAGGGAAGAAACCAATCATGATTTCTTTTGCCACCTCTACTATGTGGAGACTACAATTGCAAAAAGACAGATGGCAGTAACTATGCCCGCTCCACTGAAAACACGAGGTTTCTTAGTATTTTTTAAATTAAATATGGCTGCTTCCGCAGCTTCTAAACCAATGTTTTGAAGAAATAAACTCTTTAAAAGAAACCATATCCATTTCATTTTATTTGCACAGCTGATGCCAAGTTTTCCAACCAACTCTCTTTCCAGAGCTACAATAATATCCAGGAAAACTCAGAAAAATATGTGAAAGTGGATTGACTACAAAATGTTTAGAGTTGGGATTTGGGTTCAGTTCTGGGTGCTCACTAGTTCATATTTAGCACTCGCTGGTGGCATTTACAGTTCACTTGATTTCTAGCCATTGGAATGTACACCCAGAAAAATCCAATTGCTGAGCTTATGATGCTTGTTGGAAGGGTTTAGTGTATTAGACTAGAGGAAACAGGATTTTGGTTTCTGGCTCTGTTGCTGATCATCTGTGTGACTTCAGACAGGTTTCTTAGCTTCTTTGTACATCCCCACCCTCCTCAATCCCCAGAGCTCCACACTTTTACACTTTTGTTTTTTCCCACCAGCAATGAAAGGGGCAGTGAAAAACAGAGTGAAAGAATATAAAATCCTAACTTATATTTCAGGCTCAACATTAGAAACTGAATTGATGCTTCGTGATATTGGTCTCTTTTTGATCAAAATATAAATGGAAGAGAGTATAATTAAGAAGACCAGATAACCAAGAGGTAATCTTATGTAAGCTGCTCCTTTTGTTTACCCTTTCAGAGAAATCTTTTATTGTATACTTCCCTGCATTTTTGAACTTCAAGATTTGAAAAATCCATTTCAATCAACTTCTCATGCTTTACAACTGTCTGAACCCTATAAACTGAAAGTAAAAGTACATTATTATTTTTTTTTTTTACAAAGTAAAAGTACAACTTCTATTTCACTCCAGACAAATTTTACTCAGAGGAAAAGATAATAATGGCTGATGTGTCCAGGTAAGGTTTGTTTGAACATGCATTAAAGATATAATTTGATATGTGTGTGGGAAGTTAAGTACTTGATAATTGATCACGGGCAAGTACATTCTGCTTTTCACAAATGGTCAGTGTATGATGATCTGTTCCTCAGTTCCCTTTAACCCAGGAGCATTTACAGCTAATTGAAGGTGTGGAAAGACACTGAACACTGTATGCTATGATGTCTAAAATTAGAGGATTGTATAGTCAGGTTCAGAAGCTTGTATTGGGCAGTGATGTTTGTTGTTCCCAGGCCTGGCATCATGGGATGGCACATGACACAGGCCTTGAAAATAAGGGTAACACTCTATTCCTTACCCATGATGACTGGGTCAAGAGTGTGTGTTTTATACTATCCAAGCCAGTGATAGTAAGTGTGGGAAAGAGAGGTTCTTTCTGCTGGCATTGCTATACTGGTAGGATGTAAGCCTGGTGCTAATATTGCCCGTATTTACCATCATAGCTTATTCATTCTTGTAAAGGGACATAAAAAGACAGTCTACTAAAGTGGTATTAAAAGTGACTAATAAATATTCAGTCTTATTAGTAATCAAAGAAATGAAAATTAAAACAAGGAGGTATGATTTACTTTTTTAATTGAAAAATTCCTCAGTGATTAATTAGGTGACAAATTTAAGTGTTAGAAAAGATGCTGTATGTTGTATGCTGTGGTTTAAATGTCTCCCTCAAAAACTCAGGTGTTGGAAACTTGGTTGCTATTGTGGCCATATTGAGAGACGGGGCCTTTGGGAGGTAAAGGAGTCACGGAGGCTCCACTCTCACGAATGGATTAATGCCATTATCATGGGAGGGAGTTAGTTATCACGGGGTTGCTTTGGTATAACAGTGAGCTCTCTCTCCCACATGCTGCCTTGCCCTTCTGCTTTCCACTCTTTCACCATAGGATGACCTTCGCCATGATCTTAGACTTCCCAGTCCTCCAGAACTGTGAACCAAATAAACTTTTCTTTATAAATTAGCTAGTCTTTGTTATTCTGTCATAGCAGCAGAAAATGGACTAAGATACTGAAGATACTGTGAAAAACTCAAGTTTGTAGAGGTAACATATGTAACATTTTTTGAAAGCAATTTGGAAATATCTACCAATATTCTTTATTGATATCATATTCTTTGTGCCAATATTAAGAATATATCCTTAAACAGTAATTCTAAATATGGAAGAGTTTGGGACACAAAATCAGAAACAACTTAAATCCAGAGATTAGAAAATACTGAGTAATTCATAATGGATACTTTTGGAATGATGTTTTAAGATTAAGTGAAGAATGAAGGGTCCAAAATTGTAAGCATGTAGTCCCTTAATGCCATCTAGCTTATAATTGATTTGTTATAATATCATTTGTATATTTCCTTTTGTATATTTCCTTTTATATATAAATTTAAATTTGTATATTTTAAATATACAAATTTGTATATTTGAATATAAATATAAATTTATATATAATTTAAATTTTAAATATAAATTTGTATATTTCCTTTTAAAATATTTTCTAGAAAATAACTATTGTGTACTTTTACTATCTTGTCCTCATGCTATTGTACTCCCTCAGCCAGTACGACCTAGTAGGGTATAGTAGGCATGGGGCACCAGTCTCTGACATCCCAAATTGTGATTATTATGCAACAGATGCTATTTATTCTTTCAGTGTCTTTCTTTCTGCTATTCAGTTTGTATTTAGTGCATACTTTTGCATCAAAATGGTTGACAAAAAGGGTATAAAATGATAGAGGAAAAACTATTTCCAAGAATCAGATATTAAAACTCAGGATCTCTAGATCTGAGGTCCCCAATCCCCTGGGCTGTGGATGGGTACCACAGGAGGTGAGTGGCAGGCAAGCAAACGAAGCTTCATCTCTGTTTACAGCCATTCCTCATTACTTGCATCACCACCTGAGCTCTACCTCCTGTCAGACCAGTGGTGGCATTAGGTTCTCATAAGGAGTGAGCAACCTAGATCCCTCACATGTGCAGTTTACAGTAAGGTTGGCGCTACTGTGAGAATCTCATGTCTGATGATCTGAGGTCGAGCTGGGGTGGTGATGCTACCACTGGGGAGTGGCTGCAAATACAGATTAGCATTAGCAGAGAGGTTTGACTGCATAGAGAGCATAATAAATCAATTGCTTGCAGATTCACATAAAAACCCTATCACTGAGTGGCAAGTGGCAATGTAATAATAATAGAAATAAAGTACACAATAAATGTGATCTGCTTGAATCATCCCCAAACCATCCTTCCTCCAACTCCCCAGTCCATGGAAAAATTGTCTTTCATGAAACCGGTCCCTGGTGCCAAAAATGTTGGGGACCTCTGTTTGAGAGGCTTGAGGAGTCTTCAGGCAATGAATTAGAGGGGAGACTAGGGATTAGTGGGAATCCTTCAACTTTGTGAACTGCTAGTCAGCAAACTTTTTTAGGACAGAATTTCTCTTTCTGTTTGTGGGGCCCTTGTCTAAAAAAATCAAGAGGAAAAGTGCTGTTAAAGCTGCATATGAAGCTTTTTCCTTTCTTCCATGATCTCTCTCTCTCAAACTTGTCATGGTGTTTTTTTGTTGTTGTTGTTGTTTTTGTTTTTGTTTTTTTTTGAGACAGAGTCTCACTTTGTTGCCCAGGCTAGAGTGAGTGCCGTGGCGTCAGCCTGGGTCACAGCAACCTCAATCTCCGGGGCTCAGCGATCCTTCTGCCTCAGCCTCCCGAGTAGCTGGGACTACAGGCATGTGCCACCATGCCCGGCTAATTTTTTTTGTATATATATTTTTAGTTGGTCAATTAATTTCTTTCTATTTTTGGTAGAGACGGGGTCTCGCTCAGGCTGGTTTCGAACTCCTGACCTTGAGCAATCCGCCCGCCTCGGCCTCCCAAAGTGCTAGGATTACAGGTGTGAGCCACCGCGCCCGGCCTCATGGTGTTTTTATTTGCTATTTCCTGTCATTCTAAGTAAAGAAAAATTTAGTTATTAAATATGTAGCATAAATGTTCCCATTCATTTTTATATTGTGTAATGCCAGTTTTAAATGCAAATATCATTGCACCGTATACAAATGAACAGAAAATTTCTTGCTTTCAGCAGGCCAGGAGGAACTAACACAAACCATACTCAGGGAGGGTAGAAGGATGCAGAGAGGATTCCCCCAGGAGTGGGGCAGGGGATACTTGTGGGGTGAGGGCATGTGTGCTTGGGCCTGTCAGTTACTGGGTTCTGCTCCTGCCAGCCATGGAGCCCATGCAACTCAGCTGGGGGCAGGGTCTAGGGAAATTGAAGGTGCTGCCTCTATCCATGGTAGATGAGCGATCCCCAAGCATCTTCAGACCGCAGGGCCGGAATGTGCTCAGGATCTGGATGGGGCAGGGGAGAGGCTTGCCCTCACCCGGGTGCAGCCTCTAGCTGGCTGCCCTGCAGATACGCGCTGCCCTGCAGATACGCGGTGGTGCCGTCAGCCCAGGGCTGAGGAGCTGCCATCATGCCCCATCCTGAGATGCCACAGACCACAGATGCCTAACCGCTACCCTCTCAACATTGCTCCCAGGCTCCTGCCAGGGGCAGAGGGTGGCAGTTATTGTGGGTCAGGGGAGGGGGAAACTGGCTGGAGTGTGGTGCCAGTGGGTAGGGGAGTAGGCTGCTAAGAACTCACCCTGGGGAGACGGAGGGAGGTGGTAGGTACCACACTGGAGCTGAGGCTCCAAGATCCTGGCGCACAGTCCATTGTCCCATTGGACTTCACTTGCAAAACCCAGATTTAAGGATAACATTATTAAGAGTGTTGAGACAGCAACCACAGAGCATTAAGCCCCAAATGGGGGACCCTGTGTGACTGCACTGGTTTCCCCACTGGTCTGTGTGAAGGACACACCCGGGCTAGTTGGTCTTGTTGAGGTCTTCTAGTTTCAGGATATGTGGTTCCAGTCTGGGTCACACTTCTCTCTCTCTATGCTTGTGGAATTTAAAGATTATGTAACCTAATTTAGTACTTGTTAAAAATCTTTACCAAATAAAACCAACTGGACACCAATTAGACCCTTAGCATGGATTATGTATACACTAGCATAAATGTTACTTACCATCTTACATGTGGGTGCTATCTCCCCAGCTGGTTCATTAATGCCTTCAAAGGCAGATACCCTGTTTTATACTTATTTTTATCCCCCTTGGTGCCTAACAAGTGAGTCTTCTATTTCTGATGCTAATAACATGGTATATTAAATTTGCTCTCTCCTAATGAGATAGCTATCTTCTTTAGAACCATAAGCACCCAGGTAGTATTCAATAAATGCTTGTGATTTCATTAAGAAAGGCTATGGAGTCACATGATTTTAAAGCCGGAAGGGAGGCGGTGGATCCCCAGTGGCTTTGCACAATTGGTCCAAAATCATACAACTTATTATCAACACATGCAGGACTAAAACCATGTATCCTAATCCTCAGTTCAAATGCTCTTTATAAGACACAATACTGTGTCTACTAAAATTTTTATTAGCAATCTATTTTGAAACTTCATAAGCGCAGGGCTAGTTGTACCATGCACAATAGGGAGATGATTTAAGTTATATCTGAGAAAGAAGAACAAATTGTGAGAAAGAGAGTTGTACATGATTCATTAGCAACTTGAGAAGGATAATGAGAAAAAGGAATGGCTTATTCACATGATGTGAATAATACTGCTGTTTGTGTTTTCCTGTTAAG